ACCAATCAGAACTAGTAGGACATTCTTTATTAGCCTCATTCACTGCTAAATGTGCTAATGGTGGAAAAACGCCATATCATTACAAGAAATCGTTGTCTGCCGTCATTGGTAGCTACGTATGCTAACTAAACTGAGCATTCACCGTTTGGATCTGCACAGCTCTGTGCTATGCTAGCTGCAGCATGGCACAAATCGAGGGGGAGGAAGGATGAGCAGCACCACATGAGATTGTGATTGATAGCACTAAAACTCTCCTGCCACTCACTAGTTGCTTCTAGCACGGGCAGAAGGCAGTGGAAGTAGATTTTTCCTCTCATACCATACTGTCACAACATAATGACAGTTTTAAAAAATATGTGAAAAAAATATTTATATAAAAGTGACATACTGCAGCTTTAATTTCACTCAGGAGAGAACAGGTCAGGAGGGACGTGGGTTAGAGCTGCTGCTGTCTGACTCATCTGTTGTTAAGTGGTAAAAGGTACAAGGGACAAGTTAAATATATGAATATGTTCGTGATTTTTTTCCTTAATTCATTAAATGCTAGTGAAAAGGAGACAAACAGTAGTTTGTAGCTAAGCTAATTATGCTAAATGCTTGATAATCTCACACAGTCTACCCAACTCTCTTGGAGAAAAATTGGGTTATAAATTAACACTCTTGCATTTTTCAATATCTCTCTCTCTCTCCTTCTTTTTTTTGAAAACCTGATTTTATAATTTTTTTTAGCAGCATAGTAGCTACCACAATTGTTTGTGTCTTCCACTGACTGCTGCTAACAGCGTCACTCTCAAGCGCTCCAAGCAGGAACAAACCATTTAATGCAAATATGGATGGTTCAGGGCAAATATGGATGTGTGTTTTTTTATTTGGGAGTGGGAACATTAAATTTTTACTGCTAAAAACAATCTTTGAAAAGACAATATGATTTTTTAATTTAATTTCTATGAACAAAAAATAAATAATTAAATTGTGGAGGACCCCTTGTTGGTCAGGGCCTGTAGAATTGTCATCACTTTTCCCCCAATACCGCACCCCTGCCTCATATATATTAATAATGACAGTCATTAGTAGGGTTTTAGCTGTGCAAAACAGTTCTACAGATGATTTCCATTGCATCCTGCTTCTTGTCTCTTCCATATCTGTCCATAATGGAGGGATTCACCTGGTTGGCTGCTCCACGACAAAATGTCAGGGAGGAAAGAATTCTTCACCAGAGTTGTTACTCATCAGTCTGGATCCATTTCAGTATAGGATTATTTTCAAGCGATTCAAAGTTTGTCAGTATAAGAAAAGATATGTTGTCAGGTGGGCTGCACAGTGGCGCAGTTGGTAGAGCTGTTGCCGTGCAGCAAGAAGGTTCTGGGTTCGATTCCCGGCCCCGGTCTTTCTGCATGGAGTTTGCATGTTCTCCCTGTGCATGCGTGGGTTTTCTCCGGGTACTCCGGTTTCCTCCCACAGTCCAAAAAACATGACTGTTAGGTTAATTGGTCTGTCTAAATTGCCCCTAGGTGTGTGTGTGTGCGCATGGTTGTGTGTCTGTGTTGCCCTGCGACAGACTGGCGACCTGTCCAGGATGTACCCCGCCTCTCGCCCGGAACGTTAGCTGGAGATAGGCACCAGCACCCCTCCCGACCCCACTGAGGGACAAGGGTGTTCAGAAAATGGATGGATGGATGGATGGATGTTGTCAGGTTTGGTTTCCACTGTTGGAACGGAGTCTAAGGGTGCATTGATTACAGCCCTGTTTAATCTGCTTTAAATTAACCTCTGTTCATTTGCCTAGAATGTCTGATTCATTTGAATGAGTAATCAAACTCAGACCAAAAGAGTGAACTCTGGTCCGCCTACCAACCTAGGCCTCGGTTCAGTTGAAGCGAACTCTGGTGCACTTTGAATGCATATGTGGATGCAAGCCGACCAGAAATGCGCTCCAAAAAGAGAACATGGACTGCAACACAGGGCATTCTGGGTAAAAACAACCAGAACAAAGTCTAGTCATAAACAGGAGAAATGGCTTGTGGTCTTTCACCAAAATCAAAAGAGAAATCCTACAACTACTAACTTCTGATGCCACTCTGTTTTGTTTACATTTTGTGAAGAAGGAAGTTGCGCTCAGTGTCTTCTACAGAATATTCCTTCAGTAGAAAACAAAGTTATTTTAATGGTATTGGACCCATATCTTAATATAATTTTGAATTAGTTAATTGTTTAATTTGTTGCTGTTTTCTCGCTGAACTACATATGCAAAATGACACGAGATGAGGCTGCTGGCTGTATCAGTCATCCTAATTAGCTGACAGCCATTCTGCCACTAATATTTAAAACTGTAAATAAAGTATTTGGTAAATGTTGTTCTGCATTAAAACTGAAGAGTTTTATAATCTACCAATACAGCCTTGCTTTAAACTGGTCTGATATTGTAGGAATGTGTGTTTTTGTGTTAATTAGTTCCTATATTGTTGCGTCTTCCCCTTGGTTGCCCCAGCTGGCTCTTCTTTCCCCTTATTACCTTCCCTGTGTATTTATCCCATCCGTGTCTGTTGTTTGTGTTAGATCCTAGTCTTAAGTTGTAAGTCACATGGCTTTGTCAGTCCTGTCAAGTTACTACCAGTTACTACCTGTGTCAGAGCTATTGCCTTTGCTCATATGTGCTGCCTGGACCTTGTACTTTTCTGGATTTCATTAAAACCATCAATTCACACCAAAACCTGGGTTCACCGCATCTTCATCCTCACTAACAAAAATCGTAAATTGTGACAGATATGGCTAAAAGGTCAGTTTTAATATCAATCCCATTGTTATGGTCATTGTCTGACTGGTAGCCTTCCCTTTGGGTCCTAAGTGTATTTGTTCTGCAGATTAAATTCATTTGATTCCTAGCTGCAGGCTCATACGACCCATCTTGCCCTTCTAAAGCAGTATCCCCCCTCAGTGGTAATACTTGTTTGTTTGAAAAATACTAATGTCTGATGGTGTGTCCTTAGGCTGGACCCAGAGACGTCTCCTCTCCATGGACACAGAGGACTTTGAGACAATTCCGTCCAGCGGAGAGGAGTCCTCCAACTCTTCTGAGGATGAAGCCAACAATAAGAATGTATGTGACTTTAGCTTAGCTCAGCATTCTTTATAGTGGAATGAAACTTAAAGACTTATAAGGTGAGAACATTTTTACTTTAAATGTAACTTTATTTTAAAAATGTAGCTCAGAGTGACTCATTCTTCACTTGTTGATGCTAGATAGTTCTTGCATTATTAATCACATTTTTCCAGTCAGTCACCATCATCAGTCAGTTTCCTCTCATTTCTTTGAAATGTATCTCAACCTCCTGAATTTGGACACCTCTACTGCTTAATTAGTTCCCTAGACTTGTGTCTTCTTAGCAGCAGGACCTGACCACTTGACATTTAAGAAATGAGGGACGAATGAAGGACTGAAGGGATTCTACCTGCATACATCTGGTGCAGGGGTCTGCTGCCTGCAGCTCTGATGCCACATGTGGCTCTTAAGACTCTTCTTTGTGAATCTTAATAACTTTGTCCGACAATGCTAAATAATCTTTCTTTTAATCTAAACGTAATTAATAATGTTAGTTGAAGCAGTTTTTCCGTGCAATATATGCAAAACATTTATGCAAAAATGTACACCAATAAGGTAAGAAATATTTTTGCTTGTCTTTTGGTTGCAAACTGTGGCCTTTTTTGACATAATTTACAATGTAAATTAAATGTTCCATTGAAGAAATGTATTTAATACCTTTATATAAAAGTTTGATTTTCTATATTTTAAAACCTAAAAACAATAAAATTGTTTAATTTAAAAATATGAACACATTTCCAATAGCAGATGTAAAAATAATTAGTTTCATGTAGCTTTTGTGGCTTTAACTGAATTTTGTTAACCTGGACTAAATGGCTAAGTGGCTCTCTGGGTTGCAAACATTGCTGACCAGTGATGGTAAATGTGTTTGCCTTTCCTAAATCAGCAGAGTTCTTCTGAGTCACATTAGAAATTTACACATATCGATGTACTGGGATGTAGTGGTTCGTTCACTTTTAAGCATCCAGTCAAATTTTAGTAAAACCTTTGTGTGTGAAATTATACATTTCAACTGTAGATATGAATGGGAAACCTTAAAGGGAAATAATATATTTCAATTTTGGGGGTGTCTGTTTAATACAGATATTATTCCTGCATTAAACAAGATTCAAACATGTTGAAGCCTTGATAAAATTCAACTTATTACATCATGGACAGACGGACGGACGGACGAACTTTCTTACTTACTACATCACAGGTGTTTCTGTCTTGAGTCAGTGTTGGATTCAGCTGGATCAGTTTTACTCTTTTCATCAGTTTGTGGTTTGTGCCACATTTGACAGTCATATGTTCCTGCAGGGTGGCAGCAGCCGGTACCGGGTGCAGCTGACATATGCGTCATGTGAAGCAAAGGACCTCCAGTTTCTGGAGGAAGGACAAAATGGAAACTGGTAAGTTTACACCGCTTCCATGAATTCAAAAGCGTGTCCTTTCAGTTTTTACCTTTGCAAAGCTCTCTAGATATTTTTATTTTATATAAAGTGAACAGTTGTTTCACCCCATCCTGATTCTGCAAGTGTGTTCATTTAGCAACGGAAGCACAATCTCTTATGGTAGGTTAATTTTAATGAGGGGAGACAACATATCAATCCTAAAATGTTAACAAAAATGCTCTTCATCAGAGGAAATAAGTTTTTGAACGAAGATAAAATCTGACTCAAATTTTAATGTAGAAAGTTTGCAAGAAGAACTTAAGGCAGATATTTCTTGTTCATTGCCAGGTTTACTCACTTATCACGTACTAGGCGATTTATTGGTCCATTCCTCTTTACAGAAACACCCTGTAAATAGTTAATCTTTCTTGACTTTTGCTTGGCAATTCAAAGCTTTAGTTCCCACGACAGAGATTTTGAAGGATAGAGATTTGAAGACTAGCTAGAACCTTCAATAACTTTAGGGTGCATTTACACCAGCCCTGTTTGGTACATTTCAATCAAACTCTAGTTCGTTTGCCTAGAAAGTCTGGTTCATTTCCAGAAGTGTGAATGTGGAATGGAATTCTGATCCAGACCAAAGAAGTGAACTCTGCTCTACCGACAAACCTCAGTCCCTGTTCAGTTAAAGTGAACTCTGGTGCGTTTCAAATTTATATTTGAATGCGAAGTGGACCAGAGACCACTCCAAATTCAGGAAGTGGACTACAGCACAGGGTATTCTGGATAAATGCAACCAAAACAAATGCACATTGTGTTAGCAGAAGAAATGGCTCGTGGTGTTTTTACCAAAGAGAAATTCTACAAACTCTAAAATCTGATGCTACTCTTTTGTTTATATTTTGCGAAGAAGGAAGTTGGATTCAGTTTTATCTGAAGAGGCTTTTTTTTCATTTCCTCCAGTGGTTCTTTGTGCAGAACCACTGGAGGTTCTGCACAAAGTGGCCTGTAGTGGCCAGGAGGGGTTTTTCAGAGGGTTTCAGAGTCTACTACTGCTCCTGTTCTTGTTTCCTTTGCTTATGAATCCAATTGATATGCTAGAAAATCCATCCTTGGTCCATCTTCAGTGTCTTGTTTGAGGGACACTGAAGAGCTAGGTTTATAGATGATGTGTTGAATCGGGCAGAGAGCGCAGAAGCCACACCGTGCCTCAGACTCTGGACGTGCACCCTGAAGTTTTGTAACTCAGTGATTATAGCGTGCACCACTGCTACAAAAACTGGGCAATATGGAAGGTGTTATTGCAGAGCAACGTCCCTTGCCCTGGCATTCATATAAACCCTCTATGAAGACTCATTTTAAGAGAATACAGCTCCAAAGTTCCCGTTAACAATAATAACATATTACTGTCTTGTTTCACACACACTTGATGCAAACTATCAAAATTCAACCTTAAGCCCCACTCACTGGCTTCCTACACACTTGTCTCTGTCAGAAAACGCCTGTAGATGTCTTCACCTCCATGCTTGACTCCAGGGATGGCAGTCTTATTCCTTGTTTCCACTAAGTGGTACAACAAGTGTCTCTGCGGTTTGATACGCAATTCTGGCGAGAGCCTTTCATTTTCTTAGTTCACCTTTAGCTGAACAATTGCTCAATCTTTCTTGGAATATAATTTGTTTCATTTGGATCTATAATACATATAATACAGTACATGAAAATACTACTCTACAGTTACAAAAGTAGTGTTACGGTAAGAAAACAAAAACACATATGTAAATAAACCTTTGTAGCAATTGGCTGCTTGACTGAAGAAGGTGATTTAGTCTTATTTTTGTTGGGACCGAGTTTGTTGTTGGAAAAAGAACAGAAGTGCCCTATAACAGGTATCCTCAAATTCAGGCCATCAAGAGACCTGCAACTTTCTAGCTGTGTTCATGGTCCAACGCACCTGAATCAAATGGTTGGATGATCTACTCAGTCCTGCTAATGATGATATAACTCAGCTGTGTTGAAGCAGAGACATTTGTTAAAGTGACAGGACGCCAAATCTCCCGAATTTGAAGATCCCTGCCCTAGCAGTTGGAGGTTTGTTGTTATCCAATATGGCTGCCTCACTTATAAAACTTAGTGATAGTTGAAATAGATGTCCATGAGTCTGACAAATCTGATCACATTAGTGAGCTATAATGAAAAGGAGGAAGGAGCAGAGTAACAACTTCCCTGTTCAGACCTCGGTGGGACTTCCAAGGAATCTCTGACCGCATCATGACTATGATCAAGCAATCTGACACAATATTTGTTTTTAAAGGTCTCCAATGCAAATTGTGGAAGGTGAGTACAAGAAAGTCACTTTTAAAATTAATACTTAATCTGTTTCCTTCTAAGTGTACATCTTAGCGAAGAAGAGGAAGCCTCTGCCTCTATAAACAAGCAGTGTCTGGAGTCTAACTGAAAGACTGTTATGGGCTACATGGACTTGGAGGGAACTGATACTCTGTTAGATAAAAGCTCGACTAGCTGTAACTATTCTCATTTTTCATCAGCTCATACATATTTTAGCTCTTAAGACTGTCTCCTGTCGTCTTCATCTATGGGTTTTTAAAAGGTCTCTCTCACCCATACTTGTCTCGCCTTCATGAGGAGCATGAAGAATTCATAAGTCCCCCCCATTCCTTGGCTCTTTTTTTTTTAATCAACTGAAGCAGAACTGATAGTGCTCTGCTGTGTGCACCAAACATATACTCTCCGTGTGTGAAGAGCTTTCTTCATATTTTTCTGTATTCCTAAATATGCTACTTGTGCTACGGTGTGTTTGAATGTATATACACTACAGAAGCCAAATTAAGCATATGCTTATGTTGTACATCCACTGTACTCAGTCCTTGCTCTTGTGAGTAAAGGTTGATGTATATATATGTACATATCATATATTGCTAACCTATTCAAACACATTGTTGACACTAATTTACAATATGAGGCAAATGGAGAAAGAATTACATCAAAGTCATGCACAATTATTGAATCTTTCTTTATATTCAGACTCAGAGTGATGTTGATCGGAGGGTTTAGGCCTGCTGGTGGCTGAGTGGAGGAGGCAGCAGAGTGTACACTAATGATGCATTAAAACTAACCTTCTCAAGCCGTATGAAACTGTCATTAATTTACAAAAGGTCAGTGTAGGGAAAAATGTCTGCACCCACATTTGCATGTTCTCTGGCTTGAAAAGAAAGGCCAAGCTAAATTATAAAACTATTTCTTGTAACAAATCACCTCTAATTTTCACCTGCAACCATTTTCAGATCACTGATTCTAGTTTTCTAAGGGAACTTAAAGCATATTTGGGTTTTCTTCAAGAATGTTGATAGAAAAAAAGTTTAAAACTAACTGACTGACAGATTGGATCAGATCTAATGGTTGGTCATTATTATCAGAGTTTGTTGTCTTACAAAGGACTCAACCACACTCAAAAATCTGGTTTTGGTGGATGCCAATTGAATCCATTGTCCTCTACATAATACCTTCTGCTAGTAAAGTTAGTTTCTCATCACATAACATGATTTTTCACTTTTGGTAAGGAAGAGATATGTTAACCATCTGGCTCAAAAGATGAATTAAAAATGTATATGGATGTGCAAAGGTACATTTTTCAACTGTGTACACCTGGTAAAATCCAACCCCTCGTTTTACACTTCCTTCTACAGGGTCTGACCCTGCGGCTATTGGAAAACTATTGCTTGCTGGAGGCATGGACTGTGTTGAGGTTTGGAACGATTAGATCTGGTTTTACCCAATTGCTATGGTTTGGCCATGACGTGTAATGTGCCAGCTCGATGCAGCTTACTGGAAATTGTGTGCCCTGTAAGCAACCCAAGGAGTAGGGCCATGAAATCTTCCTCAGCATTAAAATGTATTAAACATTCTCCTTGCTTTTAATTTAATTGCTCAATATTTGAAAGCGTGGGTAACATTGACTGAATGGCTTTGTTTGCTTTTCCTTCTGCCATTGACAAGCTACAACCCTATAGAGGGATTATTTGTTTGTAAACACAGCAAGATATATGTGCATCTTGACTGCAGAAACAGTTGCTTTAAATGCTCACTGATTGCCATGGTTACCCACATTGATTAAGTTGCTTTAACATTAGCCAGCATGTTGTCATAGTACTACAACAGTTGGTCACAATGTGATAAAGTATGTTATGCTACCAAATTGACATTAGTGATCCATCAATGACCCATATGGTGGGAAATGGTGTTCAGATCGAACTGTTCTGTGTGAACCACTGAGCCAATACTGTTGAGTCAGCACAAGCAGTCGCCAGAACACGCAGAGTGACTACCACTTTGTGCCGCATCATCTGTCTAACCTGATGGAGAAGAAATGGGACTAACTTACTTATCAAACTTGCCTGTATCCATTTGGATTGTGGAAAATGAACCATTTGTCACTAGGAAAGTTGAAAACACTCAACTTTGAAATCTCAGCCATCTGCGATCAGTGTGGAGAGTCTGCGCTTCTCTCAGATTTATGCACAGTATGCCCAAGTATGTGGGAAACTTTAGTATTGAACTGAAGTTTGCCATTGCTATAATAGTCTATGTTTTCACTGTAACTATCATTTTATCTCATCTCACATCTGTTTGTTACAGTTGTTTGTTACAGTTCTAGTGTTTGTTACAGTTCTAGTGTAACAAGTGTGGCTCTGTGTAGATGCTTCATATACTTATGATAAAGGTTCAGGATGGGATTTATACAGAATATAAACTGTGAAAAGGGTTATTGTTTTAAAGCTACTCCAGTGTCTCAGTGAAGATCCTTCTCTTTATTGTGTTCTATATTCTAGGCTAATCAAGAACCTTTTAACAGAGGGGCCAGGGTGGTCCTTTTCTCTACACTTGAAACACCATATAAAGGAGGTCACTCTATTAAATAACAATACTGGCCACTTCTGACTAACCACCAATAGCTTTGCTCTAACACCCACTCATCTTCTCCCGTCTTCTGCCCTTTACTC